CGATCCCGAGACTGTGCTAGTATGAGCCAGTCGTCGAGATAGTTGAGGATGCGAACACCCTGCTCTCTCAGGGGAACAAGAGCCCCCTCCGCAACTTTCGTGAAGACACGGGGGGACAGGGACAGCCCGAAGGGCAGGACCTTGTACTGATATGCTCGACCCTTGAATGCAAACTGCAGAAAAGGTCTGTGGCGTGGAAGGATTGACACATGAAAGTACGCGTCCTTCAGGTCGATCGCTGCAAACCAATCTCGGGGACGGACGCACCCGAAGATGCGTTCCTGCATCAACATCTTGAACGGTAACCAGTGAAGGGCCCGGTTCAAGACACGCAGGACCAAGATTGGTCGTAACCCACCGCCTTTCTTGGGTACAATGAAGTAGGAGCTGTAAAACCCCGTCTTCATATCGGCTGGAGGGACCGGCTCTATCGCATCCTTCGCCAGTAGGACTGCGACCTCTGCCCGCAAGACAGGACCATCGGCCGCCGGATGCCACTGAACTTGGGGGGACGCCGGCCGAACTGAATCGCATAGCCGAGGCTGATGGACTGCAGAAACCAGCGAGATGGGCTGGGTAGCTCTAGCCAGACACCCAGATACCATGCAAGCGGGACCAACTGAACCACTGCCATACCCGCAGTGGGGCAGCGAAGTGGAACGCAAGGACCCAACTCGGGCGGCTGGGGCGCTGCGGCCGGCGGACGGGTGGACGCCTCAGTCTGCTTCTGTACAGCCGAGAGCTGCTGGGCCAGCTCTCGACCGCATCGCCGAAGATGCGGTCACACAGGGGCATTAAGGGATGCCTGGGACACAGGGGCATTAAGGAACCGAACTTTGTCGGCGCCCCTCATATCGACCAGACACAGCCAGTTTTGGCACTTCTGGACCACCATAGTGGACATCGCATGACCCAGAGACCGCGCAGTGACCTTCGTCGCTCATGGCGCGAGGTCCGTAGCGGTGTGGAGTTCTTTGAGAACTTGAGTCGTGACCACCCTCGTGCAGGTCCCTCAGTGCCTTAGCCTGAAGAACCTGCAGTAACGCCGTAGCGTATAAGGCGGAGGCAGCTTCTCCACAGGCCGTATAAGCATCGCTGGCCAGTCGAGTACCTACAGACCTGGGAGGGGAGGCACGGTTCGCCCTGCCGGGTGGAGGCGGTATTAGGTCACACTTGCATCGCAACCGACCGCTCCACCGGGGGGACCCTTGTAACCCCCTAGCTGCACCACCGTCGAGGGTGGTGAGGGAGGAGGAACCAGCAGATCGGTTTCCGGCAGTCCCGGAGGAGAGCAGCACAGCCGAATCTTCCTCTCCAGAAAGCGCCGGCTCACCCTCCGATGCAGCGATCGACATCCAGTCGTGGGGAGGAGCGCCAAAGGATACGGCTGGTACGCTCCTTGTAGAGAGCCCAGCACATTCCATTGGCAGCTCAACTGGTTGCGGAGTGACAGTTCCATTTCCTGTTTAGTAAATTATGCACTAGCGGCAGAGTAAAATGGACGGGTGACCACATTAATCTAATTCATTAGAGAGGTACCATGGCATTTAAAATGCTGTCGTTAGTGTGCCCCAGGAGAGGGGCTGCTCATCTTAGTCTTGTAAGAAGGGCCGGTTGCTGACTGACAACACACAGCTTTAAGTTGTGGATGCTGAACCTTTGTGAGATTCCAAATCCATCTACTATTTCTTATTAGCTTCTTTTGTAAGAAGTAAATGAGCTTAAGCTTGATTGACAGCTTGATTGCGCATGGTTTCCAGGTTGGGAAAAATAAGTAAACCACTGGGCATAAAATTTATTGATTTAAGAGAAAAGCTCTGATTGGGGGATTTAAACTCTTGACATCTAGCAACTAACACCATGAAAACTTGTGGAGGCTTGTTACCAATGCAAGACAAGGCAAATGCCAAATTAAAATGAAACATTTTCAGGATAAATAACCAGCAGGCAAATATCGCAAACAATTATGTTGACGATAAATCAAGAAGCAGAACTTGTGATGGCTTAACACTTTGTAAGTGTGTCAAACGTGGCTAGTAGACGAATATTGCAAAAGAGGAGCTTAAAACTCTAAAGTTCAAATAATAAGGAATAACTGACAACAGGCCGTTGAATCATCAAAACAAATAATTTACATGGCACAGACTGACATTACACTTTGGTGTGCATTATTTTTTAATATTTTAACGGCCTGTGGTCAATTATTTTGCTTATACCATGGTTACCACATCTTAAGACACTGTTAAGATGTTTTAAGATATTCGTCCAGATTTAGTCCTTAAAAAGATCCTATGTATAGAATTAATTTCTTACGGATCTGATCCCAAGCCTCTGTTGCTAATTCCCCCTTTTTTTACAATTACCAACCATCATCACATATCACATCAATACTACACAACATTTAATTTATTACCTACCACCAAAATAAAAAATTTAGAATTAGGTTTTCCTCATGATCCATAGCATACAACACATCACTTAAACCCAATGTTTCCTTAAAACAAACCGGATTTTTAGTCAGTTTAAAATACACAAATTCTGCTTTAATCCTTGACGTCACAAAAGCACTTAATGTTATCTCTGGGTCTACTAAAGCTTCTTCATTTATCTTTTTTTTCCTTGTTACCCATATTGCCATTTTGGTTTCCGCTATTAAAAAATTAATTATAACAATTCTTCTCTTATCTGAAGCCTTATAATTTGGCCCAAAAATGAAAACATTATCATTAAACTCTTCACCTAGTTTTTCAATCCAGTTTTCTAATGTCTGAAAAATACCTCTCAATCTACAACAAAATAAGTACAGATGATCAACTGATTCCTCTAAATCACAAAAGGGAAACTTCTTTTCTACAGTGGGATCGATATGTGCCACGTGTCTGTTTGTAGCTACTGATACTACTTATCTGACGGACTTGATTCCTGTCAGATTACACATTTCCTCTGGGCTTTTCTACTCATCATAATGTTTTAAGTCCATTATCCTTGTGCATCCAGCTCTTGCCATTACTTTCTGAAGGCTTTTTGAATTAAGCACCTTTACTTGAAGTAAGGGATTATTAAAAAGAGATTCTTTGTTTATCCAGGATTCAGAATAAGGCAGGTCTCTCTTCATTTGAAAAATTGAAGTCCATGTTCTCAGCATAGTTTTATAAAAAGCAGATGTTTCTTTTAAGTCCATTTCTGTTAAATTAATTAAAAACAAATGTAAATCATATTTAAAAACATCAACTTTGTGTAACAGGGTTTTAGCGGTATCAGTCCAGCACCTATTCGAGTGCAGCAACTTTTGTGCTGCCTGCAGCCTGAAGGTCTTAATTCTGCTTTTAATATCTATTCATCCTTGTCCACCTTCATTTACTGGTAAGAAAAGAATGGCAGCTTTAGTCCAGTTGTTGTCCAGTCCAAAACAAATCCACTAATCTTTTTTGTAATTCATGGACAATATCATCTGATGGATCTAGGACATTCATTTTGTGCCACAGTGCCGAAGCTGCTAAATTATTTGTGACCAAAACTCTTCCTCTATAGGATAACTGGTAGCACCCATGACCACTTAGACAACAAGCTACACATCTTCTCCACCATTCCTTGCCAATTTTTTCATCTTAAATGTTTCAGTCCCTAAATAATCCCCTAAATATTTCAACCCCTCTTGACTCCACTTAACACCACCTGGGAGCTCTGGTGGATTTTCATTTACCTTTTGTCCACAAAAAAAACCTTCATACTTTTCCCAATTCACTCTTGCAGATGATGCATTTTCATAAATTTTCAGTGTTTCTTTTAAAACAGACACATCTCTCTCATCATTAATAAAAATTGTAACATCATCAGCATATGCAACCAACTTAATAGGTTTTTCAACAGAAACCCCTTGTAATGTTTTCCTTAACTTACAAAGTAGGGGTTCAATGGCCAATGAATACAGCATCCCTGATAACGGGCATCCTTGTCTAATTGGAATAGGCCGACTGAGCCCACCCCCCACTTTCAACATTGCAGATGCATCATTATACAACATTTTAATTCATGAAATGAAACTCTGACCAACCCCAAAAGCTTCAAGCGTTTTAAAGGAGTCCTAGTATGCTCTTTTACAATGTCTTGAATTTGTTTTGGGGGTGTACTAGAACATGCTCTCATGCTTGGTGGTTCGAAAAACGCATTGTTTTTTACATAATTTACATTATTACAATACCTTTCTCCGCATCCTGGCAGAAACGGCTCGATTAGTTCCGGGTTTGATGAAGGCCCGCCTTCCGAAAAACGAAATGTGATGTGATTGGTTATCTGTCCCAGTGCGTTATGATTGGCGAACAGCTTAGACGGCGTTTCAGTACTGCCCCTGCCAAAGCAGCAAGTTCCGTCTGCTCCGGTTTAGTTAAGGATGGCGTCAATATTGCCATATCAATTTGAGCCGGATTCAGACCCAGAGAATATTGAACAAGAGGATCGCGCAGAACCTTTGCACACACGGATATTGCAAGACATATTAGAGTGGTAACCTTATTGGGGTTTTTTGTGGGGGTTTTTTGGCTAAATCACGTTTTAGATAGGATGTCAACAACCGCTTAAAACTAACTGCATTTACTATGTACAGATAAGTGCATATGTATTATTTTTATTGTTATTTAATTCTAACATTATAACATGAATTGCAGTGAAATTGAATTTATTTATACCATAGTCCAGTGTTTCCCAGGCGGCATATATATGCAAACTCATTCTCTGCCAGCAGGAGGCGCTGTTGGATTAGATCAAGGTTTCCCCGGTAACGGCTGTACAAAAATCAGCGCTCTGCTCAAAAAAACACTGCTTTTTCAGACATTACATGCAAGATTAAATGAAAATGACATCCAATTTTCTGAAGACAGCCGGTTTCCTTCAGAAATACAGTGATATAAAAACACCCCCACTCAATTAATGGGAAACACTGTAGACTCATTGAAGTGTAAATTCTGCAGATTACATCATTGTCCAGTATTGTACTGTCAGCAATTTATTATAAAAACGTTTTCATAATTGTAACATACATATTTACATACATAATTATTCAGGTGCATGTGTAATAACTTGCGAAAACTTGAGGCTACAGCAGCACTTCTTCGTCGTCGCCGTCTTGTCTGATGCACTCAACCAAGCATTCTAACCACGACCTCGCCCCTCCCCACCCCCAACCATTCGAATTTCCTTAGGCGGGAATTATTTTAATGATATTCTAATGGGCCGCTTTGTGATATCACAAAACCCGGAAAACAAACGCTGTAGTCCAAACGGAAAACAAACGCTGTAGTCCAAACTAGCCGTTCGTTGTAGCTCTTGAAAAGGGATTTTTTAAAAACGAAATATCTCCCTTTGGAGTGGACTTTGAGATTTGTAAGTTTGAAGATCTTTTTGATGCCCAAACACCACACGATGACTAAAATTAAAAAAGTTAAAAAGCATAATAGGACCCCTTTAAACATAAAAATGACTAACTCTGTCAAAAGCTTTTTCTTGATCGATTGCAAAAATGCCAACATTTTCACCGTTCAAACTTGCAATGTCAATTATGGATTGGAATGGATGTCAATTATGGATTATTACAAGGAACAGATTGTCCATTATTGTTCTGTTGGGGATACAATATGTTTGATATTTACTGACCATACATTCTAAAAAGGGTTTCAATCTATTAGAAAGGCATTTTGCCAAAATTTTATAGTCAGTGCATAAAACAGCCACAGGTCTCCAATTTTTCAACAAACCAAGATCACCTTTTTTAGGTAACAAATATAAAACCGCTC